CCCCCACCATTACTATCACAATCATTGTGCCACTGTTACTATCACCATTGTGTTACTGCTATCATCTCTATCATTGAGCCATCGCCACAACTGCCACCACCACTGTGCCGCCACCATTGCCACCACCATTTAGTCGCCACCACTACTACTATTATGAAACCACCGTCGTCACCATCATTGTCTTGCCATGATCACTATTATCATGGTGGTGGTATGAATAAGGTAGTTACAAGGAGAGGGTTAAAAAGAATGACAAAATTAGAATAATGATAATTTTAAAACTTCAGCTTCTTGTACTTGTCAAACAGTTAAATTCAATTCAGTACTTAAATTTTAGTTGATAATAAGCAATCCGCAAATTAAAAAATTCAGTATTCAATACTGAAAATTTAGCATTCAGTTTTATCAAATACTAGGAGGGTGAATTCCTACCAAAGACATTCATATATCAATGTTTTATACGTTGATGTACTTGGAAATCTTTTTTAGACTAGCAATGATAGTATTTTGTACTTATAATAGTTGTATCAAAAGTATAACAATATAATCAAGTTGTGTTAAAGCATCTTACTCAAAATCAATTGACAATGTATAAAAAGGCTTAGAAGGATCATAAACTAGTTTGGGAGATATTATTTTATCAATGTAAAACACATTTTGATACTCCTACTTAATATCGTATTATTGTTGGCTTTCTTCAGTATTTAACGTTGACTCGTCCAGATATTGCCTTTACAGTAAATAATGTCTCTGTTAATATATGCAAAATCCTACTATATTCATCATTAGGGTGTAAAAAAGATTTTACAATACCTTAAAGGCACTCATGGTTATCGTCTTCAATTTTTTCATGGAATCAATTTCATTGAAAGTGTAATCATATGTTGATTGGGCAAGTTGTCCAGATAGCTGTAGGGGTGCAACTTGAGCACACACACACACACATATATGCATATAAATTATTGACCTAATCCACTACAGTTGTTAAATTGATAGTAGACCCCCTATAACATTGAGATTTATTACAAATACAATTGGCTACAGTGAATTAGATTATTGTAAGTAACTCAATAAATTAAGTACAAGTGACAGTACTCCTTGAGAAATACACTGGTGAAACTGATGTCAACTATGCACATATATACATACCATACGTAGTTTACAGAAGTATAGATTAGGAGTCTTTGATTGTGCAAGTAGTTGGACCAGTTGTGAATTTCAATGTCAAATTGAACCAACTTTTAACCCATTTTTCCTTTGTAATATAGCTAAATTGACAAGAGCCTTACCCTCCCGTTAAACCAAGAAAAAATTCTGGAGCTTTCGGATTGCTCCCTGCCAAAATCACCAGTGTGGACCTCAATATGTGCCGTCGGTGACCCAATTTGATTGATAATGGACCTCAATATTTAATGTGACCACTAATCAATTCAATAATTGTGATAAATTATATTAACAAATTATCCCAACAAATAAGGTTGAAATAAAGTTGTTGATAAAAAAATATTCAGAGACCAAACTGAAGTTTTCGTGCATCTTTTAAGGGAAATCTCTTATATCAAAATGTTTTAAAATTGCATCAATTTTTTTATTCAAGAGTTCAGACTCTTCAAGTCACATCCTATACTAGCCAGAAGACATGATGTAATGAAAAATTAACGAATACTACATTGCCTAAAGACACTTTGTAACCTAAAACAAATTTTCAATTTGAAATAATTTTTACTTCATTTGCTTTAATGGAATAAACTGAAATCAAGCTAGTCTACTATTTTTCAAAAAATTTGGCATAATTTTCTCTAAAAATAGGAGTCTAGAAAAATCTAAATCTGTCTACAGAACTTACAATCATATTTATTTGTATATATACCGCTCATAATCGTAAATATGACTTAAGCATAAATTCAAAGCTAATAGTTGCCCGTGCTGAAATGCAGTACGTGATAAACAAAAAACCTTAAATAATTACTGATGCTTGACAACCTAATCTTTTTTTCCTTCCCTAAACTACGATAACCCAATCTTTAATTATTTCCCAAAGCATTGATGCCCAAATTTCTAACTTACTGCATAACTAAATCTAAAATCATAATATACCAACCACAATTAAAATGAACTTTTTGAAGCCACAAAATTCATTATCATACATTCCCAACATCAACACAATCCAATTTCAAAGCTTGTAACAAACACCTTAATCTTTCCTTAAAAAAGTAAGAATAATAAACTAACCACTAAGAAGAAACACCATTATACATGACATAGCTTGGTTATAGACTAAAAACACCACGTGAAATGAGAATAAAAATAAATAATAGTTTTACATCATCATAATCAAATAGAAACAACTATTCAACAATAGTTGTGTCGCTTTTAAGATATGAGCTTCCATTGGCTTTTGAAAAGAAAATCTACCTCAAATCCCTAGAGGTCAAATTGACAAAATCTCTGCTATATAATATTCACAAATATCTAAAATTCATAACTCAATGTCTTTTAGTAAAAAGATTATTAATCAATAGTTCTAGCATTATACTATGATAGATTGAAGTAATGCAGTTTTGTACAACAATAACAAATGAAACACTTTGCCATATATTCATCAACCTTTGACAGCAAAACAAAAAACCACAATAAAAAATAGTGTTAAGTTCTCCATACACCTAGTTGGCATTATTATAGCAATTAACTTCATTGCTTCACATTGATCATGTTAAGTAATATTTTTTCCAATGACAATGGCTAGAGAAAACCAAGTGAAACCACAAAAATTAGAAAATTAGAAGAATTTTTCAAAAAAAAATAAAATAAAATCATAGCGTACACATCTCATAGAGTTGAACTTCAAATGAAGTGAGGAAGAATTGAATCTTCCTTCCTATTTCTTTACTATCCCTCAAATTTATGCTTGAATCTTTTGTTAAATCAATAATAATTATGTTCACTGCACAACAATGTGATAAGACTAAATGCAAAGTACATGCATCACTGTCACAATAAAATAGACAACTACAATATGCATTCTAAAAATGAGGGGGAGGGGTGGGTTTACGGAATTTCTCTTGGGCATTTTAACAAACACTTCATGAGAAGTTCGACTCTGTTTGGGAGCATACATTCCTATACATAAGTACAAACGACTATATTTAGTAGTCAAAATATATTTTCTCTATTTAGTTTTACTCCAGGTGAATCACACATTTAAAAAAAAACTAAAATTTTATGAGATGATGAATGTCCCAGGGTTTTATATTAACATAAAAGAAAGAATTAGGTCCTTCAATATTTAAAGAACCAACCTTTCGAAGCAAAACCCTATAACAAAAAATGATTTTTATTTAAACAATTTTTTTTTATTGAACTGATAGTAAAAACTAAGAAGATTTACATCACCAAGACAACCATGAAACAACGGAGAACAAAAATTCCAAAACGCATAGGACATCAATACAATGCCTGCACAATCTTACAAAAGTCAATTGATGTTTGTGTCCATGTTTTTAGTTTCTCTCGACAAAATTAAGAAGGAAATAAAATTACTACCCAATTAGATCCCAAAAAAATGGCATAATTAACCAAGGGAAAAAAAACTTAGATTTGCATCAAATGGGACCCAATTAGAAAACTCGCACCAAATGGACCTAAATAAATAAAATCACAAAAACCCACGATAAACATATTCAAAATACAATCAATTTAAGTCAAGAAAAATGTAGATTTGCAACTAATTAAACCTAATTAAAAACATCGCATCAAATCAAATATAAACTGCTCACAAAATTAAACACAATAAAACTAACAAAATGATTGGTTGTTCCCTTCTAGGTAGAATTGCGGCACTGCACTTAGGTACGCTTGATAAAAAGTTGTAAGAGAAATTAGAGCTAAGCAACAACAAACTTTTCAAATAATTCAAAATGACAACTTTTTTGGACATACCCATTGTTTGATGAAGCTTTACTAAGGATCCTTCGTCACAAACTTTGGGGGCTGAAGAATTGACTTTGGAGTAGCTCCTAAAAGAACAAAATAAACAGATTACATAAACCCACAACATCCTTTAAAATCACTGTAACTGATATCACATAAAACGCAATCTCAGCATAAACAAAATATTTGTTATAAAACTTCTAAAGTCAAATAACCCAGCAAATTCTTTTCTGTCAATTTTTTCTAAAATCACTGTGGGTTTTTCTCTCAAGAACTAATGTAATGTTCCGTTTGGTACGATAAAAAAGTGAGAAGATGGAAAGTTAAAATGATGAAAAATTGGATGGATAAATAAAATATCATGTTTGGTGAGAAAGGAAAGTAGGAAGAATAAAAAAGTGGATAAATTAATTTTTTTTCCAACTCATCAAAATCAATCCCTCTAAAATCGGAAGGAAAATGAATGAAAAGTTAATTATTTTTATTGAAATGTATCTTATTTTTCAATATATTTTATCTATACATTAATTTCATATAAAAAATACAGTGGTAAAATATGTATATATA